ACTGTAAAAGTTAATCAGGAAGTGGGCATGAATTACTCAACTAGCAGGAAGGGGTTTCAATTTAGGAGAGATCTCTCAAGACTTTGCTCAGGCTTCTTTCCAGATGGAGAGAGGGAAGGTGTTGAGAAACTCAAAGTTATATTTTGTTTTATTTTTATTTTTTTTTTGTATTTTCTAATGACGATTTTTTTAGAAATTTCAATAGATTTAGGGGTACAAGTATTTTTTGTTTTTAAAAATATTTTTATTCTTGCTTTTCTTTTTTCCCCCACAGCTTGTGAGGGGCCTAGTTTAGGAGCAGACAAAAGAAGTACGAATTTAAAAATTTTTAATTTACCTGGAATGTTTGCTCCCCATCCCCTTTGTGATGGCTTAACACATTTCAAATTTATGGATCCTTCCATTTTGAGGTTTTTTTTTGTTTATGCTACTTATTTCTTTAATGTAATCTTTATACTGTTGTATTGTCATTTTATGTTCAGTGGGCAAAAAGTTGTATGATTTGGTTCTGTATTCTCACCTTATCCTGAAAAGTCTCTGTAACCACATCCTGATGATATCCAGAAGTTACTAACAGTATCAGAGAACAGCGGTGAGGGGGTGACCGAGCTGGCAGTGAGGGGAACTGGTCCCTGGGCTGCTCCACCGGAGAGGGGAGCAGAGTGCTAGATTGTGAACATGGCCACTCCTCGGCCCTCCCAGCCTTCCAAGCTCCACGCTGCAGAGGTCAAAGACGTCCCGCTGGGCACAGACACACAGGAAATAGAGGGAGTCCTGTTCACACCACCACACCCAATGAGTGGGTAAAAAATGGACGACATCATCTGTGCCCCTGTTTAGATGCTTCCACATTCTGATTCCCATAGGAGAAGACTGCAACAGGCACATGACTCTCATTTGTTCAAAAAACCAAAGCGCACATCCTTAACATGAAACAGAAAGAGCCAACAGCAACTTGAAAACTCGGAAAAAGAACAGAAATGCTGAAAGTGTCAACTGGACAGCAATGGGTCCTTAAAAGATGGGACAATATCAATGCTCAGCATTGAGTCAATTGTTCAAATTATTCTGATCAGGGAGAGAGAAGATTGAAGTGGATCCTGAACTCAAGAGTTCTCCCACAGAGATATGGCCAACATCAGTATCCCCAGCATGGGTGACACTGATACCACAGCAGCCTGTAAACTATTGGAGGGGACAAGTGTATTCCAGTGCGAGGTGCATCTTGTGTTTCCTCCCTAGGACCCAGCAAGTCATCACAGCATAGGGAAGATTATTAAGGGGGCCAATGTGATCCAAGGAATGTCTTAAATTTCGGTCATGATGCAGCCTTCTTTAAAAACAAGCGATATGAAAAGAAAACAATACTTGAACAAACAGTCATGGCCAGGTATTTGAATATATTTCACCACAAGCTAGGCAGAGCATTCCCAGCAGGACAGATGTTAGTAGAAAGATCACAATTTCTAATGGCAGCAAAGAACTTCGTCAAATGCATTTATTTAATTTAGTTAATTGAAAACAGGACACTGGTGAACCAATCCTGTTAATTTTTTTTTCTTTCCAGTTGGTGCATTCTGCACTGAATGGTACTAAGTAGAGTTTGGAACCCTTCTTGGGGATTAGTTAGGATCCACACAAAAACAAGCAGCAACAACAACAAAAGCAGAGAACATCTTTTACTGTTAGAAATAATAATGCATTTTTATCAATTTGTCAATGAATGCTGATTTCAATGGCATATTTATTTCAAACCTGAAGCTTTACTATGTGATTTTTTTTAATAGGATGGGGCTGGAAAAATAAAGACAACAATATCAAGCAGTCAGGATGTTTGGAGGTAAAACCCTCCTCTCCTTGATAAGGAGCCCCTAAAAAGCCTTCACTTTTTCTGTATGACCAAGAAGGAAGAAAGTGCATAACATTCTTCCTTCCTGGTCATTCAGAAGGTCTTTTCAGCACTCACAACTGAACCATTGGATGGAAAGATAAAGAGCAGAAGAGATTGTGGGCTGGATTCTATCAGTACACAAGATGAAGTCTTGTATGGGCCCGAGGCGAGAAGGGTGTCACAATCCTTGGGAATGAAGACCCGTGGGGGCCTGAAGGAGAATGTCAGAGCCCATATGACTGGCATATTCTTAGACTGGAAATTGTTAGGTGCTTTGTGTTTATTCTTAAACCCACAAAAAAACTCAAGAGTTAAAAATAAATAGGCATTCAGAGGTCTGTATTTGATGTGTTAATAAAGTTGTTTAAATATATTCTTGAAGAAATTATATATTTTAGAAATGGTTTAATTGGCAGAAAAATATACTCCTTTATGCTATTGAAAAGCTATTTTGTCTACTTTTACTTAGAACCTAAAGGTAGTCAGTCCAAGTCACTTACACCACGCTCCCTATTGCCCTACGAAACAATGGACAGCAACCCTGTGGCATTTGAAGTGAATCTCAGAATCCCTTGTCACCTCACACTCTCTGCTCCGCTGATTTCACCGTGTGGCCACTCCTTGGTTTATAAGTCCCATGTCCAGTGCTATTCTTCACGTGTTTTAGTGAGAGCTTCCAGACAAGCCATTATCTCTGCTCTCCCTAAGGTGTTACACTTGGATCATTGGTATATTCAGAACAGTTCACCTGTCTAGATTTTATATCTCTCCATAGAGCTATATATGTGAGTGTAATCCAAACTGGGTTGTTAAAGAGATGGAGTTAATATTTGTGATGATCTTAAAACAGTGGATAGACCATAAGAAGCATGCGATAAAATTCAGCATTATTTTTTCTAATATCATGATTATTATCTAGATTGACAGCAGAGTTATTTAGAGTCATCTATCTTTCTTTTTTTTAATTCTAGGTTAAGGGAAGCTTGTCTTTGCCTGGGTGTGTTATTAACTAGATAGAGTGCTCAGGCAATGCTAATATCCATTATACTGCCAATGAGAGTTGGTGTTCTAGTACTGGGTCCTGGTTGTCTCTCTTGACAGGTGGTTTGTGTGATTCATCCCTTTTCTGCTCAGAACTGATTACAAGTGGACATAGTTAGATAGAAGGAATAAGTTCCAATGATGGATAGCATAGTAGGGTGACTACAGTTAACACTGTATTACAAAGTTCGAAATAGCTAGTGGACAGGATTCAAATTGTTCCCAACACAAAGAAATGAAAAATACATGAAGTGATGGATATCTTAAATGCTCTTACTTGATCATTATACATTCTATGTATATGCATCAAAATAGCACATATACCTAATAAATGTGTGTATTATGTATCAGTAAAAATTTTAAAGACACTGTAATAAATTGCAAAGGAATAAAACAAGTGTGAATTACACAAAAGAATAGTCAGGGGGCTTGTCTTGCCAAGCTGAAGGCAGTCCATTGAACCAGGATTTGCTCTTCTTTGAGGCTTTGGCAGAAGCAGCCACTTCCCTGCCTTTGTGCACTTCACCATTGGCCTTCAGTCTTCCCTCTGCCAGAGCCCCTAGTCCCAACTTTGCTGCATTGAATTTTGCTAACTCAGACTTTGCAATTTGCCAGTGGAAAGTCACTTCTCCTCTTTCACTTTCATGACAATCAGAATCACTGTGTTTTCTTTTTGCTTACAAACAATTGTCAGGTTTTGCTTTCTAGAAAAGATGAAATGAGAAACAAAAAATCTGGAATATTAAAAATTATAGAAAAAGAAAACATTGCTAACCCTTTGCCTTTCCTTTACTTGTCTTTGTCTTCCTTCATCATGAATTAGAATGTAATGCGAGAGCAGCAAGACAAACCTTGCCCAGTAAACCACTATGTGAAAAGAAGGCACAAAAATGTAAAATGAAAAATCATAAACAAGTACAGGAAAAAAGGCTATTTCTCCCTTACAGAATAGCCTGGACCTAACTTCTCTGCCTTGTTAGAATGAGACAGAGACAGAGGAACAAGAACCTAGATAGAATTACACTGAGTAGATGAACAATTGAAGGTCATTATTTTGTCTAATATAAGATGCTTCTTAGTCATAATGTCATCATTGAATCCCCTATGCCTACCTCAGAAACTTCATGCATAACAAGTGCTCAATAGTTTAAGTAAAAAGTGCTGATCAATAAAAACCATATCTGACAAAATAAAAATTATTTGACTACTGAAGATAAAATAACTGCATATTGGATAATTCTGCCACCTAGTTAGACAAAATAATCTTTTGCTATCAGCATCTGATGACTGTTGAAACTTCTGATACCTGGGGACAGGTGTTAGATGAGGAGGTCACCACTGAGAACTAGAGTCCTTCACACAACACTCTGGGGACAGGGCAAGGATCTTGAAAGATGTACCATTTTGGAAGCAAGGAAAGCTCCTGTTTAGTAAAGAGCTCTAAATTCATCAGTATGTGATGAGCCTACCCTTAGCAAATAAGTCTGGAAGAATTTGGGTTGAGGACATTGTTACTATAGAGGAAAGTGTATTACTGGATGTGATAACTATTTTGTGAGTGAGGTGGTACTAGGGAAATAAAATTATTTTGGAATTAGAATCTTTACACACAATGGACCTGAAAAAACCAGGATACCTGCTAGGGTATTGGCACAGCCTGAGGATAACTTAGATCTCCAGTATGAAAATAGTGAAAAAGAAAGGGTCATGTCTATACTAATCGTGACCTTATGGCCCCAGTGAAGCATAACCTCATGGACCTGCATGAATGTATTTTAGAAGGAAGCTAAACATTGCAGAAGCTTGTTCACTAATAATCATCAGTCTCTTCATGAATAAAACAGTGAACAAAACTCAGTTATTAATTCCAAATAGCTTATTGGCTACAGATAGTCTGGGAAATCCCTAACCAAATACAGAAACCCATAGGGTTAAGGGAGTTCTTATGAAAAAGAACATAAAAATGGAGCTTAGGATCAAAGCTAAAAATTTTTTTCCCAGAACACAGAAGAGTCATATTTACATATGACAAAAAAAATGTGTGTGTGTTTATGTGTGTGTATGAGTATTTATACACACCTATATACCTACATACACTTCGGTCTTTAGAACAAAGACATCTCTCTTTTGACTGATAAATATCCATTTGGATTAGCACATCTGAAGTTTATTGGGAAAATTAAACTTCTAATGCAAAAATTAAGGGTTTAAAATGATGAAATCTTCTTAGCCCATATGGAGATAAAAAGTGGAAGTAAAAGTGTAGATACACGTTCAGAAAATGAAAATTGTTTTGTTCCCTATTTAAAAGCCATGCACAGAAAGGATGACTTCAGAGAACCCAGAGTCACCCAGACCCCAGCTCAGCCAGGGCTGCAGAAGCCTCACTTCCCAATGGCCCTCCTGCTCCCCCTACTGACGGCCCTGGTGATGTGCAGCTGTGGCCCTCTTGGGTCTCTGGGCTGTGACCTGCCTATGAAACATGGCTTGCTTAGCAGGAAGACCTTGGTGGTTCTGAGACAAATGAGAAGAGTATCCACTTCCTTGTGTCTGGAGGACAGAAACGACTTCGGATTCCCCCGGGAGATGGTGAACGGCAGACAGTTGCAGAAGGCCCAGGCCGTGTCTGTCCTCCACGAGATGCTACAGGAGATCTTCAACCTCTTCCACACACAGCGCTCCTCTGCTGCCTGGGACACCACCCTCCTGGTCAAGCTGCGCACTGGACTCCACCAGCAGCTGGAACACCTGGAGACCTGCTTGGAGCAGGCGATGGCGGACGAAGACTCTGCCAGGGTGATCGATAACGCTACACTGGCGTTGTGGAGGTACTTCTGGAGAATTCGTCTCTACCTGCGAGAGAAGAACTACAGTGACTGCGCCTGGGAAATTGTCAGAGTGGAAGTCATGAGCTCCTTCTCTTCTTCAACGAACTTGCAGGGAAAGTTAAGAAGCAAGGATGGAGACCTGGGGTCACCTTGAAATGGTTCTCATTGACTAAGCTGCCTTATCACGCTTGCAGATATTGGATATTGCAAAAGACTCTCATTTGTGATTTGGTCACTGAATGTATTAAGTTCAGCAAATACTTTGTCAGAATATTAAGCAAGTATATGTTAAGAACATTCAGCTTTAGGGGCATTGGTCCCTAAGTGATGATAGCCCTGATGTTATTTATTGTTTGTATATTTATTTATTTTGGCACCTCATTATATTTATAATATTTACATTTTATATAACTGGGGTTTACCTTTACAGTGTTTTAAAATTAGAAAATATGATCACCTTTACATTTTATTGAATAATGTGTTTTGATATTTATTAAATTCTCATCAAAGAAAATTTCTCAAATTTTTTTTCTAAAAACAAAATCCAAGTGTTAGTTTTCTAAACCAAATTGAAGAATGGGTAGTAATATTTACTTACTTATTTATTCATTCCATTCACATTATGTACATAAATTGAGTACATGGCCAATTGTGAGATTTCATTCAAGAAATATACAGGTGACTCACACCTGTAATCCTAGCACTCTGGGAGGCCGAGGTAGGAGGATCACTTGAGGTCAGGACTTCAAAACCAACCTGAGCAAAAGCAAGACCCTGTCTCTACTGAAAATAGAAAGAAATTATCTGAACAACTAAGAATATGTATAGAAAAAAATTAGCCAGGCATGGTGGCACATACCTGTTGTCCCAACTACTCAGGAGGCTGAGGAAGGAGGATAGCTTGAGCCTAGGAGTTTGAGGTTCCTGTGAGCTAGGCTGACACCATGGCACTCTCACCCAGGCAACAGAGCAAGACTCTGTCTCAAAAAGAAACAAACAAACAAAAAAAGAAATACAGGTGAATGAAGCTAACACAGTTCCTACTGCATTGAAACTTTTAGTTTTATAGTAAAGGAAACATAAAAGTTGTGCTAATTCCACTGATAATAAATGCTACAAAGAGAAGAAAAGGAAAAGAATATTCTCACACCAGAAACTTTAGAGGCAAATGATGATGGGAAGAGAAAAAAAGTAGATATCCTTTCTAAAGTGTCTGAGAGACATAAAAGTACAGAAATCTTATCAGCAGTTGGGAATACAGGTCTAGAATGAATAACAAATGCCATAGGTGAATGTATTAATCTGGGAATTTTTATTATCTGTCTGATAATGAGGATATAGGAATGGACATGGCCACTTATATTACTAAATAGGACAATGAGATGGGGACCTAAATTTTGTCCTGCAGATCCTCCACTTTCACAGGTAGGACAGAGAAGGAGAGACTGCAAAGGGCATTGAGGTGGAGAAATAGGGCAGAGTGAGGAAACACTAATGAACAGAAGACGAGTTTTCAAAAGACAGTGGTGATTGTAAGACAGGTAAATTGTCCCGGTGGACCTGAAAATAGACACCATCATTTGGGAGTAGATTGAAGAGGAAACACAAGAAGGGGAATTAGGAACACTGTGTATAGAAAATTATTTGGGGAAGCTTGTTTCTTGAGTGGAAGAATGAAATAAGATGGACCTGGAGGAGAATGTGGATATATATCTTGCACATTTTTTATGTTTTTGCAATTCAACTTTCCTAAAATAACTTTCAAAATGTATGAACATTTTTAAACATTTGGTTTAAATAATTTATTTTGGTACAATAGTAATTTATCAATGTTGTAATTAATATTTTATAGTAAATGTCAATAGTAAGTAATACATTTGCTTGTTAATTTCAGTTTTTTAAAATCAAATTTTCCAATAAAGTTTCATTTTATTCTGTTATATTATTTACTCTAGTTTTTATGTTGGCCATTTACATTATTTGTTTATGATTTTATAATTTTTGATTATTGACCTATTCATTCTGTATAAATTGTAGCCATATGCTTTTTTTTTTCTCTGGCATATTATGGGGGTACAGATTTTAAGGTTTCAATAAATGCCCATTTCCCCCCTCCCCAAAAGTCTGAGTCTCCATCATGACCATCCCCAGATGGTGCACATCTCACTCATTATGTATGTATATACCGCCCCTCCCCCTCACACCTGCCAATACCTATTACTGTAGTACATATGTCCACTTAGGTGCTACTCAGTTAATACCAGTTTGCTGGAGAATATATCTGGGTTTGTTTTTCCATTCTTGGGATACTTCACTTAGTAGTATGGGTTCCAGCTCTAACCAGGAAATATAAGATGTGCTATATCACCCATTGTTTCTTAAGCTGAATAGTACTCCATGGTATACATATACTACATTTTATTAATCCATTCTTGGATTGATGGACACTTGGGCTGTTTCCACAGCCTTGCAATTATGAATTGTGCTGCTATAAACATTCGAGCGCAGGTGTCTTTTTTGTAGAGTGTCATTGGATCATTTGGGTAGATGCCCAGCAATGGGATTGCTGGATCAAATGGTAGATTCATTGATCGCTTTAAGTATCTCCATATTGCTTTCCACAGAGGTTGAACTAGTTTGCATCCCACCAGCAGTGTAGAGTGTTCTCTCTCTCCCAACCACCCAGCATTTATGTTTGGAGTTTTTGATAAAGGCCATTCTCACTGGGTTAAGTGATATCTCATTGTGGTTTTGATTTGCATTTCCCTGATGATTAGAGATGTTGCATTTTTTCATATGTTTGTTGGCCATGCTTCTGTCTTTCTTAGAAAATTTCTGTTCAAGTCCTTTGCTCACTTTTTTATGGGTTATTTGATTTTTCTTCCTGATTTTCTGAGTTCTAAGTATATTCTAGTTATCAGTCCTTATCGGATGCATAGGATGCAAAATTCTCCCATTCTGTAGTTTGTCTGTTTACTTTCGTGACTATTTCTTTGGCTGTGCAAACTTGTAGTTTGATCATGTCCCATTTATTTATTTTGTTGCTGCTGTAATTGCCTTTGGGGATTCTTCATAAACTCTTTGCCAAGGCGATGTCGAGGAGAGTGTTCAACTTTTCCTCTAGAGTTCTAATAGTTTCATACCTTAGGTTTAAGTCTGTTATCCAGCGTGAGTTGGTTTTTGTGAGAGGTGAAAGGGTCCTGTTTTGTGGGTCCTGTTTTAGCCTTCTACAGGTGGCTATCCAGTTTTCCCAGCACCATTTATTGAAGAGGGATTCTTTTCCCCAGCGTATGTCTTTGTCTGCTTTATCAAAGATTAGATGGCTATATGAGGATGGTTTCATATCAGGATTCTCACATCTGTTCACTGGTCAATATTCCTATTTTGTGCCAATACCATATTGTTTGATTACTACAGCTTGTAGTATAGTTTGATATCTGGCATGTTAATGCCTCCCATTTTGTTTTTGTGCTAGAATTGCTCTTGATATTCGGGTTTTCTTTGGTTCCATACGAAGCGTAAAATTATTTTTTCTATATCTGTGAAGAATGTGATGGGATTTTAATAGGTATTGCATTGATCTGTAGATCAGTTGGGTAGTATAGACATTTGATGATATTGAGTCTGCTGATCCACGAGCATGGTATGGATTTCATCTGTTTACATCCTCTGCTATTTCCTTCCTCAGTGTTTCATAGTCTCCCTGTAGAGGTTTTTAGCCTTGTTTAAGTATATTCCTAGGTACTTTAATTTCTTTGTTGCTATTGTGAAGGGAATTGAGTCTTTGATTTGGTTCTCAATTAGATGTTGTTGGCATATATGAATGCTCTTGATTTTGTGTATGATTTTGTATCCTAGACTTTCTAAATTCATTGATCAGTTCCAGGAGTTTCTTGGTTGAATCTTTGGGGTTTTCTAGATACAATATCATATCATCAGCAAACAGTGAAAGTTTGATCTCTTCTGCCCCTATTTGGATACCTTTGATTCCATTTTCCTGTCTGATTGCTGTAGCCAAGACTTCCAGCACTTTGTTGAACAGAAGTGGAGATAGTGGGAGCCTTGTCTGGTCCAGTTCTAAGGGAATGATTTCAATTTTCCCCATTCAGTATGATGTTGGCTATGGTCTGTCTATATTGGCTTGTATCATTTTAGGTATGTCCTTCTATGCCTATTTTCTTAAGTGTTCGTATCATGAAAGGGTGTTGAATTTTGTCAAAAGCTTTTTCTGCATCTATTGAAAGAATCATGTGGTCTTTGTTTTTGCTTCTGTTTATGTGGTGAATTGCATTTATAGATAGCCATATGCTTTTGATGAACACTTGTTTTTAACTTTACCTGTGTACAAAGAGCTGGACATTTTCTGTTTTACTTCTCTAAATTATAGAATGTCTAGGACAAAGAACTAAGCATTTCTCTAATCATATTCCTCTTATTATTTTATACACATTCAGTTCTCTTTCTTGCAAATCTGTTTTTACATTCGGTTCTGCATTCCACCAGGATTTACTTTATCTATGATATGGGATGATTCTCTAAATTCCTTTCCTTGAGGGTATAGCTCAGGGGTAGAGCATTTGACTACACATAAATTCTTTTCCGTTAGAATGCCAGGCAATATTCCTAGAATATTTTATTGAAATTTTCTTTCCTTCTTTATTATAATCTAAAACATTTTTCCCATAAATCTAATTACTGCAAACAATATAGTATTTTTGAGATTATTTGCTTTGTTAATATGATTAATAAACTCTCCTCATCACTATACTTTTTTTTTTACTACTAATACTTTAAAACATTCAATTCTTCTGACTAAGCTAAGACCAAGAATTTTTCTTTTAATATTTTTGCTTACCCTATTTCCTAATTAACTTCAGAATTGTACCACAGTGGAAAGCTCTGGTTTCATAAAAATCATAAGCATTTATGTTTTCCAGAATGACTAATCATAATGTATATCAAAGAATGAGATGCGTGATAAAAATAAAGAAACTAGTTGAAAGACTCTTTCTCACAGAAGCTAACACAAAAAACAAATTATTAAATACAAAGTAATAATATTAACTACAAAGTAATGTTGTACAATAGCCACCAGAGTAAGAAAAACCAGGGAGAGAGAATTTAATGATCCTGTAATTTAAATTAAAAAAAATTATTAACAGAACTCTATAATATAAAACTTAAGAATCATCCATATTCCCAATATAGGAATTTGCATTGATTCCCCCCAGTCTGCCAGTTTGTATGTGTGATCCCGGCCAACTCACCTAAACCCTTTGGGCCTCAGTTTCTCAAATGTAAAGTGGAATGAAA